AGAGAGAGAGAGAGATTTTATCAAGGAAATTGTTCATGTGGTTGTAGAGGCTGGTAAGTTCCAAGTCCATGGGTCAGGTGTCAGGCTGGAGGCTTCTCCTGACTGGAGCTGCAGGGCCTAACGAACCTAAGATTGGACGATCAGATGGCAGGCTGCTGGTTTATGGGCTGCAGAGGCTGACGAATCCCAAAACTAGCAGACAATACAGCAGGCTGCTGACTGAAGTCCCAAAAACTGAGATCAAATGATGATGAGACACACACAGGATCCAGAGCAGGCGAGCTTTGCCAGAACATCTGTAAATATACATTGGATGCAGGCCACACCCCCAAGCAAACTCCCTTTTCATCTGATTGGCTGCTTACATCAGATTACCAAATGAAGGATGATTACATCATTACATAACTGCCAAACCACTGAGAATTATGGGCCAGTCAAGTTCATACACAACCTTAACCATCACAAGGGGGCTGCACCTAGTGCAGGGGGCTGTGTCTCCAGCAGATGACCATAACCCAAGAGAATGGAGCCATGACACAAGTGCAGGGTGCTGTGCCATGAGAGCAAGGGACCACACCTGGATCAGGAGGCCATGCCTAGAGCAGTGGGCCATGTCCCTAGCAATTGACCACGCATGAAGAATAGAGGTATTTGCTGCAAGAGTATAGGACGGCAACCTGAGAGCAGAGGGCCATATCCCAAGAGCCGAGGGCTGCTTCCTGAGCTTGGGGGAGGGGGTTGGCTGCATCTCCCCTCCAGATCAATTTTGCTCAAAGACCTATCCTGATATTGATCCACATATTGATCCTGAGTTCTATCCTCTTCCTGACATTTATTCTGTGTTGTATCCGGTTAGAATACTTCTGATTGGTGACAGTGAATATCTGTTTTTGGCAGGTGGTGGGGTAAGTGCACTGCATGCTGGGACCCTTCCAGACCTCGCCCTATGTGTTTCCTAATTTATATTTTTCTCATTTTATCTCATTTACGTATATGCTTAGTACTATAAAAAAAAACTACATGGATAAAAATGGTAATGTGCAAGCACAATACATGGGTGAATTCTAATTTGAGAGAGGATAACCCGGACTAATAATGATATATACCCAGAGAAATTAATAGAAGTAATAATCAATAGATTTTACTCTATAATTTTTTTTTAAATAACTGCAGGAATAACTTAGGAAATTACAACAGAAAATGTCATAAGGAAAGGTAATGGCAAATACCTAATTGGGAAACAATTTGCAACTTACATGACAAGCAAAAGGGAACATATGATGTGTGTTTGATCTAGGAATAAGGAAGCTCTGAAAATTGAGAGTACTGAAATGTAAATGTCAACCTGTTGAACCCTGGATTCTCTGAGAATTACCCTTAATCTTTTCTATCTGTGAGGTTCAAGGTTCATAGTCTCTGAGCGTATCAACTACTGGAGCCCATCCCTCCTAGAAAAAAGATTTCTCAGAGGAAGGTTCATAGGAAGATGAGAAACTGGGACACTTCTTCCAGTCCCCGGTCTGTCCATCCACTAGGGGGCAGGGTTGAATTGATGCTAAAAGTGAAGACCAGGAAGAAGGTGGAGCAGTGGTTAAGAGCTGTAGCTGCTAAGGAAAACGTCAGCAGTTCGAATCCACCAGCAGCTTCTTGGAAACCCTATGGGGCAATTCTTCTCTGTGTTATAGGGTCTCTATGAGTCAGAATTGACTCGACGGCACCAGATTTGTTTTATTTTTGTTTTTGTTTTTTGGGGGGCGTTTAATTGTCACGAATACTATTTCTTTCTATTTTAAAGATATAGAGGTACTTTCGCTGTTACTCATTTACAGTTAAAAGATTTCATATTTTCCTTTTTGGAGAAACAAAAAAGGTTTATGAATGTGAACCTCAATTGATATTTTAGTCCATAGCTGTCTGCTGAGGAAGGACACAGAACCTCAGATCCACAGGGGCGTTATGATCCACCAGATAACATTGTTCTCTTCCTGAGGCTAGAATTTTACTTTCACATGTCATCAGAGGTTTCAGAGGCTCAGCACTGATCTGCAGATCAGCCCTTTCACAGAGGCTTGGCTCACAGACCAAGGCATGGGGAGGTGACTGATGAGCAAGTGTTCTGGGACACTTTTCTAACAGAGGCATCCAGCACTCTTAATAATCTCCTCCAGGCCTAGGGGAACATTCTTTTGGATTATACCCCCGAGCCTTCTACCATACAGATAAATGGTGAGCTTTGGACAGAAGCCTTGGTCCTAACTCCTTCCCTGCCTTCTCAAACTGATTCTCTTCTAATGTCTTCTGAGTCCCCACCTTAAATATTTCTCTGCATTAACGTAATTGATGTAGCAAAGTAGGAAGAGGCAAGTGTCGGTTCATGTTGGGAACTGGGTCTAGAACTGCCTGGTCTAATGTTTTCAACAAATACTTACAAAAACTAATTCTTCTGTTGTTGCTAGGGCCTGTTGAGTTGGTTCCAACTCAGAGCGACCCTATGCACAATAGAATGAAACACTGTCCAGTCCTGAACTATCCTCACAATCACTGTTATCTTTGAGACCATTGTTGCAGCCACTGTGTCAATCCGTCTCATTGAGGGTCTTCCTTTTTTGATGACTCTGTGCTTTACCAAGCATGATGTCCTTCTCCAGGGACTAGTCCCTCCAGATAACAGATTCAAAGTATGTGAAACGAAGTCTTGCCATCCTTACTTCTAAGGAGCATTCTGGCTGTACTTCTTCCTCTGTAGGTAGTTGATAAACAGAAGGACGATCTTCAGCCTCCACAAGAAGTAGACAATATGATCACCATCACACACAGTCAAGCTTGAACTCCACCCAGGGTTTCTAAGACTTCTCAGAAAAAGAAAATAGTTCTCTATTAACCGATGTGAACTACTGCGTCAGGAATCTGGGCACTGAGAGCATGTGTTCCAGACTGGAGTTCCAGGTCTGCATCACAGAGCAATGGAACTCTATCGTGAGCCAACTTGATCTACTTCCCCCCTTCATCTACTCATCATATCATACGTGTAACGTGGAATAATTCCAACTATTCCACATCTAACTTAGGCATCACCTGGGTCTGTACTCAGCTGATGGAAATCTCAACTTAGACCTCATCAATTAAACAATCTTGGATGTCAGGTGATTTTTAGAAATGGTTACCAATTCCTTGAGATTTATACTTTGATATACAGATCTTAAAAACCATAAGGAAGTGTCTGACTGGAGTAAATGAAACTAGGATAGGGTTCAGGTTTGAAATCCATTCAAGAGGTCCATTAAGATAACCTGTGGAATCAGTTCTGCCTGTTAAGAAAATGTGGTTTTTTCCCTTGTAGCCAAGCCCAAACTAAATGTTGCCAGTTTATTTCCAAGGGGCTTTATGTAACTGTGATCACTCTGTGAACTCCTTATGGTAACTAAATGGCAACTAACAAACAAAACACCCATATCACTAAGTAGAAATTACTTTACCTCACCAAGCACCAATCAGAATTTTGTTAGCTTGTTTCCAAAGGATCCTTAACCCAAACAGCTCATCTCTGGGGTTTGTTCCCTAGCTCTCCATGGTAACGGTAAACGAACCTCTTAGGCGCAGCCCTGGACACAGCACTCATGTCCTAACTGCCCTCACCCCACAGGTCATGTGATCCAGCAGGATGGTGGCAGATGCCCATGTGTAATCATGGGGGGTTCTGGTAGAAAGGAGCCCGCCTGAAAGCCCAACCCGGGGTGGCCTATCCTTCAGCAAGAGGAGACCTCGGGTAATGCTGGCAAAGTTTAGAAACATTAGGAACAGGCAGCAGAGACTGAGGAAGTAGGAATTCGATGGAAATAGAGAGGAGGACGCTACACGAATTTCCGTGTCATTCTTGCGCAGGGGCCATGCTAATCTCTGTATCTTACCAATTTTAGTATATGTGCTCCTGGTGGCGAAGTGATTACAGCACTCGACTGCTAACCAAAAGGTCAGCAGTTCGAATCCACCAGCAGCTCCTTGAAAACCCTTTGGGACAGTTCTACCCTGTACTATAGGGTCGCTATGAGTAGGAATGTAGTCCACTGCAACGGGGTTTGGTTTTGGTTTTTTAGGGAAGAGAAGTGCTGATGTAGGCGCCCTGAGATTCACGTGGGACAAAGACGGTACAGCGGGATGCGGGTGGGGACTGCGTCAGGGGCCAGAGAGCCTCCTGGCCAGCAAGCGGGCGGGTCCAGGCTTCTTCCCAGACATGTGACACTGGGCATCCGGATACCGACAAGGGGCTGTCCTCCGACCTATGCGGCGCAAGTTTTCAAGGCATCCGACCTCGCCCAGTCCACTGGGATCTCACAAATAGGCACTGGGCCTCGGGTGGATGGGGATGGGAGTTGGGACAAAAGGACGAGTCGGAAGGGAGCTGGACTCAGGCCGAGTTGATGATCGGAGCAGCCTTGGAGGGGGGCAGCCGGGTGGGGTGGGTGGGTAAAGGTGTGGTGGGCCTGCAGAGCTGAGAAATGGAGATCAGAGTCAGAGGAGGAGACTCAGGAGAGGGGCTTACGAGTACGTGGGCAATCTGGATACAAGTTGGCTTTGAAGGGCTGGTTCAGCACCTGCTTCGTGTGTGCACACCACCTCATTGCAGGATAGGATGGACATAGCCCGTCCTCACGGGTTACCTCCAGTTGGAGAAGAAACATGATGGAGAAAAGGAAGAAACTCCGTGAGGATCTGGTTGACAAAAGCAGCAACTCTCCTGGCTCTTCACTATTCCGACAGTTTGAGCCCTGGAGATATTTCCTATTAAAAGATTTCAAGCAGCATGGAAGAGTTGGTATTAAAAAAAAGTCATGACAATGTAGGAATTTTCCTTAGTACTATCCTCCTACAATCTCACAACAAGTTGGAAAAAAAAACAGTTGTTTATATTTTATTATTTTAACTAATTTAATGTTATGTTTAAAATAATATTTGATTTACTCTTATTTAGTATATTTTATTATATCTATAGTTTCATTAATAATGTATGTAATTGTGCTTTATTGTTTTGCATATGCTTTTTTATATGTAACTTAATTTAATTTTAATTTATAATTAATTTGATTTTATGTT